CGGTCTGAATTTCCAGAACAGTGATATCTACTGTGCTTTATTAACACAAGTAATGTGTTGAGGATCACAATAGTGTGTTACTGTACCAGCAGGTAGCTCCAGCGGTCACTTTTACTGTTGTACTGTGTGTACTGTACACACAAACTGTTTTTGTAAAAAAAAAAAAAATATAACTTTTCTCATACCTCGTCTTTTTTCCTCTGTATTAAGCTAAATATATGGCATTGCATATTTTGGGTTGTTTTAACAACAAGATACAGTATGCCAGTTCTGTTGCCAGACAGACTCTTGATGCTGAATGTGTATGGCTTGGTAGGTCACTAAGGTATGGCTAAGATAAGGGAATCTGCATTGTTCCTTACTCAGTTGGGGCATAAAGTGTTGTCGCAGGAAGTCGGGAAGAGAGTAGACGGATGGTTGGCTAGTTATCTAGGTAGCCTGTCTTTCTCGAGTGGTGGCAAGTAAGCAAAAACAGTAAAGTTACATCACTTCACTGTAATGTAGTCTTTAAAACCAAGAGACAACACTTATGCTATATAAGGATATCCAAAATTGAAGACGATCTATATCATGGATATAATATTGATATATTTCCCAGCCCTTACTGACTTCGGAAAGGCAATTACTTCCTGGAGATACTTGGTGAGTATTGTTTTGCACCGATAACAACAAATGTAATAGATAACAGCCGATCCAAATTTCGACCCTGATAGCAGGAACCTTTTTGGGCTGGATAGGGCTCTCAAATAACAATACTATTGCATTTAAAAGGCCATGTACTATCATAGTTTTGGAATAATAGTCATCACAGGATGTACTAAATTTATTTCTATATAAAAAAGAGAGACTTTGGATGACTGTATTTTTTTAAATAGTTCAGAGATTCTGTATTACATTAACACAATTCTTCTTTTTCTTTTTAGTACAACCTCCAGATAGAGTATGCTTTCAATACATGTGCTGTAATACCAGGTGTACTGGGTATATATGAGAACTGTCTTTGTTTCCATGTTGAATAAGTGCAGTTCTTTGGAATATGGCCGAGGCACACTGCATCACTCAGAGATGCATCAGCCATCAGAGTTCAATAGTTGAGATTTTAATAATGCAAATGGAAATAACTGGATTCTGAGGCATTGTGAATCATGTCGGAACTTGAATTAGACTTACATCATGTCTTATGTGGTGTCTGAGCCTCGAGCAGATTTCACAAACGTAACATCTGGCTGACTCAAATTAAAGGCAGAGTTCTGTGGTACTTTGTGATGACGATCCTCTGGGGCAATGCACAAGTGCAGAATCATCTCCCTCTGAAAGTAACAAGCGCCGGCAGAGTGCATTGTCAAAGTGCAGATAATTGACCCAGAGGAGCGTAATCACAGAGACTGTGTCATTAATGCTTTAATAAGCAATTGTCAATTATCAGGGCTTCACCTGACATTGTAACCCTACCCCTTAAGGCAACTGCATAGTGAGGGACTCAAACAAAAAAAAGAAGCAATTAAAAATTAAACTATTGTGACTCAGAAATGGCTTGAAGAAACGTGGAAACGTTTCTTGTTCTCCTGCTCAGATTCATGTTGTGACTTGAAGATGAGGAGAGTTTGATTTCACTTGTTGACATCATCCTTGTAAAAAAAACATGGAAGAAGGTTTGAAGATGTGGGGTGTTTTTCAGTGACCTAAATCCTATTGGTCTGAAACACGACGGCTGGGACACGGGCCTAGATTTAATATGCCGGGGCTTATGTTAACGCTTTCCAGGGGCAAATGTTTCTTCAAGAAGATACAAATGTAAAAAATAAAAGTCCCGCTTTAGAGGGACAAGACAGCTTGGGGACAAATATGAGAACCTGATAGTCTGTAATCTCTAAACTGAACACAGCCACCAGATCATTAAACGGTAGAGAATTTAGGATGCGGCATGCTGGTGACTTCTGAGCCAAGACAGTCACACAAGACCCACTGAAGATTCAAAGAAACCATATTACAAAACCTCACCACTGATTTGGGTGTAGAGTTTAATCCCAAAGCCTACCGTACGTCAGATGAGCTCTAAACCAATCCGCGTTACAAGCGCTGGAGGGAAAACGTTCATCTAAGCCAGTCAAAAATAGTGGCCGTCTTCAAAAAGAATAATCTCTTTCAGATTAACCCCTTGAAGGCCATCTCAGGCAAAGGTGTTCAAAGGTTAAGTGTAGCGAAATCTTTACATCTAACGCCGATTTGAAGGAGAGGATGCCACCACTGCGTTTCAGTCTAGTAAAGACAGAAGGCGAGAAAATTTAGATTTAAATGCTCTTCCCTCACCGACAGTTGCCGGAGATACCTGTCAATATATTTAGTGTACGTTCACTTTGGACGGATTCTGAGGGGCAAATGAGATTCTGTGAACAAAGCGTTGTGTCACAACATGCTGAGGAAAGTCGGCTACAGTTCGCGAGCCTGTCAAAAACGAATTATTAGCAGATATTTAAAAAAATGATGATTATTAAATCAGCCAGATGTATAGAGTATTTACACATGCATACATGCATCATGCTCCTGTAGCACGCAAGATAGAAAGCAATACATTCCATTGTCACGACCTAAATCAATCCATTATGCTTAAATATATACATTTGACATAGACTTTCACAGTGAGCCACACGAGTGCTACAAATCTGAAAGTATGAAGAGAAAAGACTTGCTTATGCATTAAACAGTTCTAGACCCCTGGTCAAAATATATAAATGGACTTTCTCATTTCACCAGTGGGGCCTGTTGCTGTGTGTTCTGTCACTGTGGTTGTTTGGCCACATGCTGTTTCTCTACTCATGCATCTCTCCGGTTGTGCCATGAATGTCACGACTGCAGCCACAGCCTCCACAAGAGGACTACGGGCCTTATTACGCCCCCAGGTCACCGATATCCCCTCAGCCTCCACAAAACTCAGCTTATGGGATCAGATACACTGTGTAGCTTGACAAATTACTAGCCGACGGCCTCCCACCCCTGCTCAAAGTTCTCCCATTTTGGCCCTTGTGTTTGGTTTTTCCTTGCGCCCCCCCCTCCCGTTTCCAATTTGTCAGGTGGAAACTGGGTTTGAAAAATGGTTGTGTTTTTCAATGGAGTCACAGGGGTCTGAGATGCAGTTTATCATTGCTCGACTGACAATAGATAAAACTGATCAATAATGCCAACAGGAGACATTATAAACATCTAATTAACAATGACGCCTCCTGAGTGATAACCACAGATAATTATTCAAGGAGTGTTTATCAGAGATAATGGTGAAATACGCGACTTAGGATGCAAGTGTTTTCTTGGAAAGGGGAATCTGATTTGGCTCCGGCTGAGTGCAAAGCCTGCCACCACCTCTGAAGGCGACGGGCTGACTGGGTGACACAACGGCTGGATATAGCAAAGACGCTGCCAATTGGATTTTGGAAAAGTGAAACAAATAGCTGTGACCCCTCGCGAGTTCAACAGTAACTGAGTCAATTGACTCATTTGATCAGCGGGTACCTGAATGGATGGCACCTGGTTGCAAGACAGAATCCATTAAAGGGATTTATTCCTCCCTCCTGTGTGTGTTTATGTGTGTTTGTGTGTGTGTGTGCAGCTATACAAGCAAGCTTAGGACACGTGATGAAACATGCTTGTGTGTTGCTTGTGTATTGCTTGTGTGTCTGAAGGGTTTTTTTCGACAGTCTGTGTTAAAGGTCCATCCCATAATTGCATTCTATATTCTCACACTCATTAGGCAGCCCTGGGTGGTAGGCTACTGTAAATAAGGCACGGAAGTGGGGAGAGGACAGAGAAGGAGTTAGGGAGAGGGGGGAAATCAATGTGACTGAGTGTTCTGTGTGCAGCCTATTACACCACTGGATTTACCTACAGTCCATCCCATTGGAGACTAGGGTGTGTGTGTGTGTGTGTTGAGGGGGGGCGGGCATGGCAGGAAGCAAAGCGCCTTGTTGACAAAAACCAACCAAATCTAAATCCCCCTCGCGTTTATACAGCCTGCCACAAACACATGGTTCGGATCACGTGGTGGCTGACATCTGCCCAACAGCATCACAATGCCAGAGAGTTGACAGCTTGCATTGTCTCGGAGGCGATTAAGTGGGATGCGAGGCTATTATGGGCACACACAAAAAACGGACTCCACGTAACTGGATTTGGAGAGTGGCGCTTTATATCTAACGGGGCTGGAACGGAGTTACATTCCTGACACCGATGGCACTTCACCTGCTCGTGCCCTACAGGCTGTAACTCATCTTTCCCAAACATCCCGGGGTGAATCAAGGGCTGCACAGTTATCTGTCTGCTCGCATCAACCCCTCTGTGTCTATAATCCCCGTCTCTGCCATCGATCCCCTCTCAGAATCTCCAGAAAAGCCACCGTGACGCATTCGCTTTATCAAGCTGTTTATAAATTAAGTACAGAGAAAGGGGAGCCTGCATGGGTGACCGCGCGCTCCGGTGCTCTGTGCGTCATGTCAGCGAAGGCGTTTAAGAAACGTTTAAGCTCTTTGCTCCAATCATGTAAATCATCCCCAGAAGAAGGACGTCATGCCACCGCCAAAATAAAGCTTACTTAATAATTCCATAGAGGAATAGAATATATAAGGATATGAAATCACCGAGCGATGTAAACTCATTGCTACAAGGCGGGATATTATGTCATATTTAAAATATGGGGAACTCAGTCAGAACTGGTTTGTGAGATAAAAGTTTTAAACCTAAGTAAGTCAACTCTCATCCGAGCACGTCCCACCCCCCGTTTACTTCTCTGTCAGTCTTGCGGAAAATATAAGTTTGCCGCAGGGGAAAGAACATCGTCAGGGGAATAAAAAAAAATCTTCCTCAACAAAATGAACGCAGTTCATAAAATGCACCCTTTTTGTTACTGCGATGTGTGGCAGCACGCAGCTGCCTGCTCGCGGGGAGGATGCTGCTGTGCAATCCGGAGGGAGACGAGGAGGAGGAGAGGAAAGTTGGAAGACGACTCTTACCTTATGATCGCTGTGTCGCCCTGACGGATGGTGATGTTATCGGTGGCCCGCTGCATATCCACACTCCGGACGGGGAATCCTGTGGGGATAAGACACAGCAGTCTGAAAAGGGAAGCCTGCAATTGCCTCCAACACGATTTGCGTCCGACTTGCATCTTAAAGTACAGGCGCGCGCTTTTCGAGAGCTATAGATCCAAGGGTGAAAAAAAGAGGGGAAGGAAGAGTAGTAGTTGTCCAGACTTCTCGGGAAAACGCGGGATGCCCTTAGGTCCAAAGCAGTGCGGAGGGGATAGGTGCTACGGGTTCCTTTGAACACTTATGGGACGAAGTCGTGCGGGGGTCCTCGCTCTATAGTCCACTGATGCGTAATGCTCTCTGCGTAAAGGGATGGCACAGCCAGCAACTGCGATGGAGAGAGGCAGGCTTCTTTTCAGAGTCTGCAAAAATCCCATCTCTCTCTCTCTCTCTCTCTCTCTCTCTCTCTCTCTCTCTCTCTCTAACCAGATTATCCAGCCGTCTGGCTGTGAATCTCCCCGTATTGGTTGTCAGGACAACAGCACCACCTGAGGTCCCTTTCAGTAAGACAACTGAGTGAGGAAAAGTGGAAAAGTAGAAAAGGAGAGAGGGGAAAAAAGAACAGATTCAAGAGTGCCAACCATGTACAGTGTGAAGTTCAGCTGTGAAAAGCTTAACCAGACATAATCACCTCTTGTCTAGACTGCCACGGCCACCATGAGGCTGTAGCTCCGTAGGAAATGACATATCCACTTTAAACCAAAGCAAGGACACAGGTTCTGAAGGTGTGTGCTTTTTCCAATTCAACAGAAATTGCCAATTGCCAATCAAGTACCGGCTTAATAGGCCATGATCTAATGCTCATTCCACGATGTGCTTAATGAACTGCAGAGTAACAATTAAGGCAGTGCACTTAGCATTTTATTTGTTTCAGAAAATACATTAATACTAATGAGAATCATTGTCATTCGTTGCACGGCACATTTTTTGTTTTGTCTTTGGACCTGTTCCTTAAATAGTTCCGGGACATAACGCTTTAATTCTAGTTCTCTAACTCTGCACGTGGATACAAGTACAGGAGACGGTCGGGATACCATACGACTTGAATGTAGAATGATTAAATATGATGTTAACGTTGGGCTAAGTTGCATGATCACACGAACGCCCCCCCGCTCTTATCTCTAAACATAATGCAATTGTTCTGGTGTACATACAGCGTGGAGTAATCCTGTTCTGAGCGCCAGCAGCCTGATTGGACCAGTGTAAGGCGGTGTTGTTGAGCCTTATTTCCAGCATCAGCCGATTTTAAGCACCAGATCAGAGCAAACCCCAGTTTAACAGCCGCCCCTCCAGCAGCCATAGCCCACTGTGACATGTAGGCTTTTCAGCCAGATTAGAGAAAATGGAAGTGTGGAAGATGTAGGCACCACTGAAAAAGGAATTACAGTGACATACTTGATATCTGGGAGTGTTAGGAGGCGTTAGTGCATTAGTTAATGAGCACAGGAATGTTTTCAGGGAGGGATGCTTGCAGAGCTGCTCCCTACTTGGCCCCTTAATGATCAGTGTCTGTTGCCATTTCCTCAAAGCTTCTGGAGGTTTTAGTTATCTTGAAGATTGCACAGTTTATGAAAGAGCATATGCATTAAGACCACTTATAAAGGGACTTCAGGGCTCCGTAGAGGAGAGAAGAGGAGCTTCTCTGCATACAGATTTATACAGGAACGGCTGCCATGTGACTCTTAGCAATATTTTTTGTTGAAAACTCTCATAAGTCCATCAGTGATCTGACAAAGTGGCGTGCGTGTAATTAGTAGAAATCTTTCTTGTATGGCAGAAATGCAGGAGGGGAGGCCAGGAAGAGAGAAACACACACACACACACACACACACACACACACACACACACACAGGCAGAGGGGTCATTGTCCTGCTGGTGGGATGCTCTTGGTTGGTTACTGTCGTGGTTAAGACAACGGAACCGGCCATACAGTATGCTGCAGTGTACACAATATAAAGTAAGTACCACGGAGCCAGGGAAGATTTTTAAATAATGCTAATGCATGAAACAGTGAGGAGAAATACACAATAATTGATATATTCTATGACGGATATCCTATGACGGGTAAATGATGAAACAAGAACAGTGTAAGGACAATTAACTAAAGAACATGATCTATTATTCAACTCTGTGTAGTTCAACTTAAGACGTTGACAGCGAGGAACACCCCGGGAGGCGATTTTAATGAAACACACCAGAGACGAATGTAATAAAACTAGAAACCATGTCTCTGCTGCTTCACACGTGGCAACGATCACACTGCATCATAAATTATGCCAGCTAGAGGCTGGATTGGAACCTGCATATGTTTCTGATATTTGTTCGCAATAAGTGACTCTGTTTTTGACCCGAGGTCTGTGTCAAAGGGCAGCCACTTTAAAGTGATTTTATTAATACTTATTACGAGGTGCCCTGACTTTCTCTCCGTCTCATTAGTCATAATGACTCCGGCAGAGTGGGCCCCGCCAATCAAAGAGGAAGAACTCGGAGCAGCAGAAAGAAATGAAGACATATGACTCCGATGTAAACCCAAGTAAACCCCCTCTTAAAAGTGAAGCCACATGCGCTGTTCCTATGACGTTAGTTCAGCCATCATTTGGAAATGTTAAATAAAGACATGTTTGAATCCGTCTTTGGCATGAAAACGGCATGCCTGTTGATTCGGAGCTGGACTATCTCATGGAGTTTTTGCTTTTCTGAACAGCCCTGTTGTCATAGCAGGAACACACTTTTCTATGTTTTTGTTACATAAGCCCATTATCAATCCAAACTGAATGTGATTTCATTCTGTACACACAATCTAGAGGGACTGCTCTGTAATGAACCCGTAGCAGATATTTCAGTGTCATGCTGTGTTCAAATGCATGCTCTTTGATGTGACTACAGAGCATAGCAAATGGTTACAATAATTTGCCTTACAGATTACTACGAGTGAGCTACAGCATGTGATGGATTATTTACATCCCCTCTTCGGTGTTATTATGAACCAGGCTAGAGATTCCCCTTTTTCTCAGAAAGTTGGTCCTTTGCGATCCGGAGTGTAGTAGAATGACATCAGTAAGGCTTGCCTCCACCCTTTGGAGTCTTCTTCAATAAGGCAGATGTCATTTCAAGATTTCCAGGGTGACAATGGCTGCACATCATCCTACAACAACATACCACGACTTGGATTTCATCAGTATGACCTGGATTCATTATCACTGGCTGCATTTCATCATTTTGCTGTTTCTCTTGTCATCCAGACGTCTACTGAAGGTTACATACTCTAGTTTGAAATGTTTTACATAATGCGTGTGTGTTCAAGTCAAGGCTTTCTTGGTGGATTGTGTAGAAGATTTAAAGAGGCCCTCCATTGATCTTACACATAGGTTAACTTCAAGTTTTACTCAGCCTTGTATAACATCTTCTACGGCTCTGGAGGAGTTATGCGAGTTTCTTTTTGAAAATAACTTATTTTAATAAAATAATAAATGTCATCAGGGTTATCTCGGCCCGGGCTTGAAGACTAACACATTTTTAATAGGCAACCATAGAGGTGTGAATCTTCACCTGTCAGGGATTTCAATGCACAATGATTCTCGATGCATCCTCAATTTCCTATACCACTGCACATGGCGACGTTTTCGTCAATTAATACAAGCAGTCAGATAAATCTGAACCCCCTTTTTATTAAGAAAGCGCTTTCAAAAATAAAGACTTCAGAAAGACACCGAGCTGAATTGGAACAAAATGCCCGTTAATGTTCGGTCACTGTATCGATGCAGGAACTTTCACGTCCACATCACGATGCATCTTAGAAGCAAGAAAATGTTGACCATTATATTTTAAAATTGATCTAACGCAATCTCCCAACTAAAGTGCAACACTAAAATACTGGACCACACTGCAGTTCTGCGTTAAAGAATAACACTGACACATTCCTACTGACAGGTGAAGTGGTGTTGCATTTGTCACATAGTGAATGGTCCATGGTGCCTACATCTACAGTACCAGCATACATTGCAAGATATGTGGTTCATAAAGGGAAACAAACCTTCAAGGTGACATATTGTTGCTTCTTTTGACAAGTGTACAAACAAAGATATATGCGTGCAGTTACAAATAGATGAAAAACAAAGAGTTGCTGTTTCCATGCAGCTGGGAGGAAGCAGGAACTTGCTACTTGTCACTTATATCAGCTGTAACCACAGAACATGATATATTGAGATCTATTGGCATCGCTGGCCGAGTGAAACACAAAATGTTAGGTTTCAGAAACACTATTTTTTGCCTTTTTTGTGGTTTGTATTTTCTTTTGGCTCATCTTTGTGAATAAAAAAAACTAGGTAATAATATTAAATATGTGTTTTCACACACTGTTAAGATGCTGTCAGATATCACACCGAGTTACAGTATCTCAAAGTCTGTCCCCTTAATATTGTCCACAGATGGAAGTCAAAGGAGGAGCAGACATAGAAGAGAAGTAAGACTGAATCATCAACACTCTAATCGGTCTAATCATGCACAAAAACAAACATGTCACATGATGTGATTGACCTATTGTTTTATTTGGGATAATTAGCAACATTGCTGTGCGAAAATCTCAACAAGTTTGGCTGCTCGCTGTGCGCGTACTGCTGCCTCGAAGCCCAATGTTTCACCTCATTATGGTGGCAAACCCGACATGTTGCGAGCATGCAGCGGATTGTGCCAGCGTGCAAAAGGTCAACAGCAAACCTCGAAGCAGCAACAAGGGAAAGTGGAGCACAACCTTCCAGCTGCCCGGCCACAGCATTAGCAGCTCGTCTGACTCACTTTGGTACACTTCCCCGTTGATGGCCACGGGCTCATACAGTATGCTTCCACTCAGACAACATGTTATAAAATGGACATTTATCAATAAAGTCCTCTGTGGGTATATCTGTTGAGAAATAATTTTGGCTGACTGAAGTAAGGTTTTCCTCTCCTTTAGCTGACTGAGCTGCAGTCCCCCAGTAGTTTAGAAAACATTCACATGTAGTTAGTTCTGCCCAAAAATCTCTCTCTCTCTAAATATACAGTATATACAGTACATATATACATATATACATATATATATATACATATACATATATACATATATACATATATATATACATACATATATATATATATACATACATATATATATACATACATATATATATATACATACATATATATATACATACATATATATATATATATATACATA